TGTTGTGGAAAATATTATGGAAAGTGGCCATTGTAGTAACTTGTGCATCATTGTTAACTGGCCAGCAGTTGTTCTTCCTGTGAAGGATTCATGGTCTCAATAATTTTCACATTCCCAGAAAGAGATGCCCTTCAGATAACAGCTTTGAGGCACAGGGAAAAAGGGCTCATTTTGACTTGTTATTTTGCCTTTACCTATCTCCACATCTCCTTTTGAAGTAGCTGACAACCCAAACTTCCCCACAACAAGAGATGTGCAGATCTCTTGCTGAAACCCCAAGGTTTCAGCAAGGACCTCCATCCATAGAAGTTTCATCCTAGAAGCTGTCCATGCTTACAGCTGTGAACTGAGATCATCACTGGACCTTATGAATTGTATATTTTCTCTTGTAGCTTGCAGAGGTGTTTCCTTCTCTTATTCTGATTCTCTGCATATGCAGAGACTAAAACAAGGGGGACGTGTGTGTGAGACTGAGACTAGATGAGTATTGGTGGGGCTCATTGCGATAATAACCAGTGCAGATATGAGGGAAAAAAGTGGAAAGATTGGAAGAGGAAATCTGAAACTAGCTGACTGAGACAAGTGAATCTGGGGATGGAGAGGACAGAAATGAAACTGGGACTTTGACAGCAAGTCTCCAGGGATAGACTGGGTTTTGTTCAATTAAAAGAGAAATAACTGGATGAGGTGAGGAATGCAGGCTGGGAGGGGAGGAAATGAAAATGGAGCCTAAAATCCCAAGTTTTACAGTTTCTCTGCAGTAAGAGTAACTGTCAGCCCTAGAGATACCTACATTTGAGATATATAAATGTGTATATATATATATACACACACACGCATATACATATATACGTGTGAGGGGGCAATGAAAATGAGGCAGAGATGAGGAGTCAGGAGTGGAGAAGAGGAAGGTCTGAGTCAGGGCTGTCTGTGGTGGGATGCAGCAGGGGCCCCGAGCTCTGGAGTGGGGCAAGCAGGAAGACCTATACTTGCTCAAGAATGCTTCCTTTGAAGGCTTACATGGAGCCTAAAATCCCAAGTTTTATGGTTTCTCTGCAATAAGAGTAACTGTCAGCCCTAGAGATACCTACATTTGAGATATATAAATGTGTGTATATATATATATATATATACACACACGCATATACATATATACGTGTGAGGTGGGAGTCTAAGCTCCCATCACAGACAGATAAGATTTTAGAGAAAGATTCAGCTGCCTAAATATCTGGACCTGCATCCACTTTTGATGCCTTGTAAAATTCCTTAAGGTGTCCTAAGATACCCATAGGACTGTAGACACCTACTTTCAGGCCACTGTGTCACACCTGAGCTCAGCTCAGTCCCAGGAGTCCAGAGCGATACTCAGATGCAGACTGTGCAGAAGATGAAGCACAGGCTTACATAAATGCTTGCACAGAGATAACTGAATATAAGTGTCTATGTCTGCAGTCTGTACCTGGGCGCCAGTTGGAATGTTTGTGAAACCTGCAGGCATGGTCTTTCTCTCAGGCTTCACTAATGTTTGGCCATAGACTCAATGACAATGTGCTTTTGCTGTAAGTTGCCGTCCTAATTCAAGTGGCAGAGAACAAGAGTTTGCAACTCCCCAGTGCACAACATGGGGAAGGAAGGAGAGGAGCATGTTGCTCCATGAGGAACTTCTTTTTTTCTCTGTTATCTCTTTCGAATCCTAAAAAAATCAGGCATAGACATATGCCCAAAGCTCACAGGTGTCCTGCTAGGCAAGCTGTGCTGGGGAATTCCAGAACTGAAATTTTCTCCTTTGCTGCACAACCTTGGTTCCTCCCCAGAGCAGGTGCATCCTGTGGGGAAGAACAGAGTGCATCATGTGATTTGAAACAACAGCAGGATGCAAACACAGGGAACTGAATTCAGGCTGCACCAAGAGCATTAATTCCAGCATTGCCTCACAAGGCCATGGCTTGTATTTTCTGCTTTAATACTGCTTTTATTCCCTCTTCCAGTCCTATATGGCTTGTATGTGTAGAGTGTCTTCATGAAATTTAATGAAATTTTCAATTTAATTGAAAATTGGATGTGTGAAGCAAGTGATGCAATACTGATGATGCAGTAACCTGTGGAGAATGGGAGGCTCACTGTCATTATTCAGCTCTTGTGCCAAAATCCATCTCCAGCTGACCCAACTGTAGACAAGTATTTGATCTTTCTGGCTAAGGGGTCAGAGGCAGCTTTGACAAAGGCACTCAAATAATTCACTTGTTGGATACAGCAGTTAAAGGGCCTTACTCTTGGAGGCCAGGGTAGTTGCATCTTTGAATGCAGTAGGGTGGGCTGGTAGCACACTAAAACTGTTTTCTGAGCTGGAAGCAGACAAGTAAGTGCTAAAACAAAGCTCTCTGCATTCTGTGTCATTCTAGTCTTTCAACGTCTCCTAAGTGGTTATATAGAAGAGAAATAACTTCTGTGGAGGGATGTGACATGAAAATAATGCTAGCTAAACAGGCAAGTCTTAAGAGATGGAGGAAGACAAAAGTTATCTATCAATGAGGGAGTAAATATCTTTCGGGGTCTGTTTATATTCAGATTTTGTTTGATCATGGTGTTTCCTGGACTTGAAGAAATGCAAGAGCAAGATGAGGGGGACTGGGCCACTCTTTTGTACAACTCCTTCACCTTACCCCTTGTTCGTTAACAATGTGTAGAACTCCTCTCTCCTCCTTTTTCTCAGTCTATTGAAATACCTTACAAGAAGTCCCAAATGGGCTTTCTTATCCAAGAGCTAGAAGATTTAGGCTCATCTGTATTGAATATTTAGAGCCCAGGTAAGCTTTCTGAGTGTGGTTGTCAGGTCTGCCTTAGGATACCTTGGACCTAAAGAGAGACTCTGCTCATCTGTGGTAAAGGGACCATGCTTATTCTCCCTGGGTCTTCCTGAGGAAGGGAAACGAGCAGTTCCTCATCTTGATGTCCTTAGTCCTTGTCACAGTCAAAAAGAATGAGTCACCAAAGAATTAGCCATGTTGTTGTTTGAGTACATTTTGAAGTTCATGTTTTCTCTTCTGTGGCTTCTGAGCCCTTCCGTTGCATGTGGATTATTTCTTCACACTCGTTCTACCATGAGGGCAAGATGCTTGTGTTTTTTGCAAAAGAAAGCTGTCATTCCCACTTGACACAGGACAAGAGGCAACAGGCACAAATTAAAACACATGGAATTCCATCTGAATGCAAGGAATCACTTTTTCAGTGTGAGGAGAGTCAAACACGGGAACAACTTGCCCAGAGATATTGCAGAGTCTCCATCTGTGGAAATATTAAAAAACGGTCTGGACGTGGTCCTGGGCAACCTGCTCTATCTGACCCTACTTGAGCAGAGGGTTGGACAGGAGGATCTCAAGCTTCACCTATTTTGTGACTCAGGAGATGCAGATTCCAGAAAATGGCAAATGCCTTTTGCAGCTTGCAGCAGAGCCCTCTCATTCAGCTTGCTTGGAAGGAGAGTGCCACTGCTTAGGGGGCAGAGTCAGGTGGCATTTTCTATAGTTGCAGCCTACCAGTATGGTCCTTCTCACGTTCTTTTTCCTGTCAGGCCAGGTACTATCCTTCCTCTTTCTCTGTGTCCTGTAAACACCTACACCTGGCAAACATCATACCTGAGATGCTGGTATGCTATTTTCTAGTCTGCTCCACTTTTGGAGCAGCATTGCCTCTTTGCAGCTGCCTGTCCACCTCACTGATAGATAATTGCTGTTCCATGGCAGTGTAACTTGTTTTCCTGACAGAGAGGGATTTGTTCCCAAAATCTAGCCTGCAGCCTCTTACAACAATAGTAGTGATACTGCTGGTCAGTTACTTTCCTTCCTGCTGCTTAGATAAGCCATGTCATTCAAGCAGACCTGCAGTACCTGTGGAATAGTGTAAAAGTACAGTACATGTAGTGCCTGGCTGCTTTAAAGACAGACAACGAACAGTGTAGCATTCATGCAGAAAAATGTTTTATTGTAGTGAAGTTACACAGGAGAAGAACAAAAGTCTCCCTGCTCCTGGTTCAAGACTATGCTGAGCCATAAAAGGAGAGGTAAGTGCTAACCAAAACAAGTTCCTACATGTAGAAACCACATTGCACTTCCAGTCATTTTCACAAGGTTGTAAGGACACTACCTGTTATTTTCTTTTTTGTCTTTTTCATCTTTTTTTTTTTTTTTTCTTTTTTTTTTTTAATGAGCTGCAGCTCTAACTACTTAAAGCTGGAATCCAGAATGTTTCCTTACCGGAGTTTTTGTTGTTTGAGGTTTTTTTCCCCTCATAAAAGCTTAGCCTCTTTCTGCTTAGCCTGTCCAGTTTTAGACTAAAAGCACCTCAGGCCACATGAGGATTACTTGGTACGTTCCCATAATGACCTTGTAAGGTTTCAGTGGCTCTAAACCCAGGCTTGGTGTACAACACTAAATGCTGGTTAGTGGTCAGATCATTCTCATCACCAGTAAACAGGAAGAGGGAACTGCAGCAGGTACAGGGGGATTATGGAAGAGTGCTTAAGTGGCCTTGGTGACAAAACAGCTCTTCCTTGGTTCTTAATGCAGAAAATCACCAAAGCATTGCATCAGCCTGACACACACACACACGACAAATGGCATGGAGTCTGTGACCATTCAGAAAAGAAAAGGAAGGTGGGACAGGTTTTGGACCTGCCAACCTTTTAATTGTCCTTTTGGGGATACAAATACAACACTGTTTATCAACTACTACCTAGTTTTCCCACACAACAGGTTATGTACAGCATATTCACTTACATTTTTACATAATAATATACAGGTCTTCCCCACCACCACCTCTCGTGGTGAAAGAATGTGACATGTCAAGCTGACAGACATTTCAGGAGAGCCTCAAGGAAAAAAAAGTTCATGCAGAGCTAGCTTATTCTTGGTCTCTTGAAAGCAAAACCATACAAAAAATGAGCAAAATGACTATTTTTACAATATTTACTTTGCACAGTCCAAAGAGGAGGGATAGGCTTTTTAAACATAGGATTCCTTAGCATACTGGATCTGGTCTACCTCAAAAACTGGCTGGCTGCACCTCCGAGCCACATACTCAAGTTTGTTCTTTTGACAGGATTCAGACATGGCTCTCAGTCGGTAGACTCCTGGGGTCACAGGTAAACTCACACGGGAGTTTATTCCAACAGTGATGCTGAGGGTTTCGGTTTCCACATCAGAACCCTTTGCTGCAGAAACTCTGCCATGAGGTAGGTCCCCTAGAGCTGTATATGCTGCGTCTGGTGGGCAGCTGCTGCATGGATGAGGCGACAAAGCGTCCTGGTTTGACAACTTTAATCTCATACTTTGAACTGTGAGATTGTGGGAGGTAACGTTAGTGGTCAGGCAGTTTTTAGTAGCCTCTTCATAAGAGGGTGGACTTCCAGGATTCCTCTGGTCTACCTCTCTGAACACTTCATCAGCTGACCTGAAACGGGGCCTTTGCTGATACGCCATAGGCAATGGTTTGTCATCATCAGGGCTGTTCTGGACAACTCTGCAGGAGAAATGATCTTCTTTCTTTGTGAAACTGTCTCTCTGAAAACCCATGTTTTTTCCAGGCCCCCAGCTCTGGGTTTTTATTAGTGTTTTCCTGCGATTTGCAAAAGAGAATGACATGGAATGCTTTTTGATCTCTCTGCTAGGTGTACTGCAGTCTTCTGTGGCCTTGGTGGAAAAGGACTGCGGCCTATTTAAAAAGGTTTTTTTGGGACTAGAGGGTGAAACTACTGGGGAGCTGGTGAAGACTGAGCCATCAGAACTCTCCAGGGAACAACTGGAGGATGTTTTGGGTAGAGAGTCAGTTGATAATTGCGAAGCTAAGATTGCAAGCGGTTTCTCCAGTGCCTCCAACCCCAGCTGTTTCTGCTGAAACGGAAAATCGTCCTCACTTTTGTTCAGCTTCTGTTTCCTTATCCTGCCTTCAAGGCGATTCTGGAAGGACAGGTCTGGCTCTGAGTACCTCCTCCTGTCCATCGTGCTGATGTCATTTCTGAAATTAGTCAGTGAAGGGGCAGAGATGCATGTTGGATATCTTCTGCTCACACTAGTGCTCCTCCCTTTGGGCTGCTCCATCTGAGAGGTACAGGAGCTGCCTTCAGCTTCAGGATCTGGGCTGTCATAGGCAGAGTCATTCTGATGAACAGCACATAGGTGTTCTGTGGGGAGAAAGCACCTGTTAGTTTTCATTGACCATCTGAGGATGAAAGGGAACTATATGGTAAGAGTTCCTGTAGAAGAGCACTACAACAGTGTCTTGAAACCTCCGCAACTCTCTGTGTTTCCACAGATGTATTCCCACGTCAAATTAAAGAATGTGGCCCAGCAGCCCCAGTCGGTGACATCCCCATTCCATTCTCATACCTGTGGAGCTGTCTGTGTGCTCTGGTGACTCCTCAGATGAGGCACAGACAAACAAGGCAATGTCCTCTCCAAATATTTCTGAGCAGTTGTTTATCAGGAACTCCACCAACACTGTCACCTGCACACAAAAAACAGTTTATTTCAGTCAAAAGGGCTGAAAATATATAAAAGAGTCTTTCCTGCTCCTGCCTGCTGTCTTTGTATGAAGGGCAGCACAGAGCAGGGTGGCTTCTGCCAAACTCATAGAATCACTGAATCAGAGTACAAGGTTTGAAGGGACCTCAAGGATCATCTGGTCAAACCTTTCTTGGCAAAAAATCCTAGCTTAAAGTCAGAGGGTGAGTCCACTCTGGAGGATGAGGCCTGATGCTGCAGACAAATTGATCTGCCCTGATACAAACAAAGCGCCACCAGCCACAGCTTCAGTCTCGCTGTCCAGAGGCCCCACAGGTGGCAATGCCCACAGCCCTTGCTCTCTGTGTCCAAAGTATTCTGGAGCTCTGATATGACCTAGGGGACAGCAAGGCAACTGCTACTTTTGCTTGGAGGAGGCGAGACGAGGGGCGGCCTCACCCATCACATAGCAGGCACCTGAGCGGAGGGGCACTCTGGATGTCCAGGGGTGCTGCTTTGTTCAGCTTTTGCAGTGGCAGTGGGATCCCTATGGGTGGCTCTGAGCTGCCCTGAAGAGTTCAACACACCTTGTCATTCATCTCCTTCTGCACTTCCAATGGGAGC